GCGAGGAGGCTGGCGGGGCTGAAGGAGGAGAATCTCGGGTGTCGTAAGGGCGGTGGTTGTTGGATGTAAGACGTGGGAAGTGAGATACAGGGTGTGTGGGAGGGCGATAGAGGGGTAGGGGTTGGGGTAAGAGGGATGGGGGAGGAGGGGAAGGGAGGAAGAGAAGAGGGAAGGGCGAGGGAAACGAACAAAGGGTGGGGGAAAAGGAGAGAGAGAGAGACAGATACAGACAGAGAGAAAAGGAGAGAGAAAGACAGAGACAGACAGAGAGATGGAGATGAAGATATAGACAGAGACAGAAAGGGACAGAGAGAGAAAGAGACAGAGGCAGATAGAAAAGGAGAGAGAGAGACAGAGACAGACAGAGAGATGGAGATGAAGATATAGACAGACAGAAAGGGTCAGAGAGAGACAGAGATAGACAGACAGACAGAGACAGTCCAACCTTCAGTCAGTAGTCATACAACAGAGAGACAGACACGCCATTTTCTGCCTTGTGATCATACGTGAATATCGCTGCTTATAACGGAAGAGGACGTCGGTTCGATAAAGTGTTGTAAGAGTAGCAACTCGGTTGTCACAATAAGTAGTATTAACAATGGCGTCGCGAACAATGCACGGCTGTATATTTCCCTTGCATTTGACAGCGACCTGAACGTCTGCATGTGTGAGAGCGCTGTATTTGGCCACTGTGCCTCCTTACCTGCTGTAGCCGCCGTCCTGTCTACCGTAGTAGCATCGTCACCCCACGCCGGGACGCTTTAGTACATCCCGGTGCTACATCTGCCGTAATATCCTGTATCCCTCTGCTTCTAATTGATCTGCTGTAGCTTCCGCTCCTCGCTCCGTAACGCCCAGCCGACCCTGGCTAAATACCTGCTGCGCTCCTGCTGTAACGCCCTTCCCCCCATCCTCCTGCCATGGTATTCCGGTCCGTAACAACTGCGTGTGGACATGACAGTTACGGAAGTTCTCGTGACGCCTCGCCATGGACAGAACACGTGGACCGTTAGCTTACAGTTCCTCTGGAGCGAAATGTTTTGTGCAAACGGGGCTGAGAGCCGCTTCATGGATAACGAATAGGACGGATGGATAGATTGGTAGATTGATGTAGTCGAAGTTACCGAGAAGTTCCACAAACGTAACTAAAAAGGAAACGCAGACACTGAAACACATATACAGGTAGAGGAGAGAGGGGAGAGGAGAGAGGATAGGGGAGAGGAAGGGAAGAGGAGAGAGAGACAGAGCCAGAGACAGAGAAAGTAAAAAAGAGAGGGAAAAGAGAGAGACAGAAAGAAGAAAAAAGAACTAGCGAGCAGGCAAGCGATTAAAACAAGCAGTTTATATAGATTTGTTGGGACGCGGGGCAGTTATGAGTGCAGAGATACAAGCCACCTTATCGTTTGTATGTGGGATGCGAATGTTATAGGAAGCGTAAACAAATATGACACTTCATATTCCGTCGGTGTGCCAGCTTGTGTACAGATCAACATTGCGCCATTGAAAAACATTTCTGGTTTTATACTTTATTTATATATCTGGTTTTATGTTTTATAAGTGCCTTTCTCTTATATGTGTATGTATATGTATATGTAATATATATATATATATATATATATATATATATATATATGTATATATATATCTTCATTGTTCATGACATTGTAGTTCTGTGTTCTTACAAATGTTTTAGCAGACTCGTTTCTACGGCTGTAAATAGATATTTTTCTCCATGAATTAATACCGCGTGTTGGAATGAATGAATGGAAATATCGTTATATCCAACTGATCTTAACGATGTTGGTGATGTGTGTGCATATGAACGTGTGTGCGTGCGTGCGTGTGTAGGGTTTAGCTCAGTTTATTCAAAGTTCTATGTATTTATCAAAATGTAATTGAAAATAAATCAAAGTCCCCGTGCCTGAATTCGTTACTGCTTCAGCGATGTGTGCGTGCGTGCGTGTGCTGCATTTAGCTCAGTTTATTCAAAGTTCTATGTATTTAACAAAATATAACTGAAAGGAAATCAAAGTCCCCGTGCGTGGATTAGTCACTGCTTCAGCGATGCGTGCGTGTGTTGCATTTAGCTCAGTTTATTCAAAGTTCCATGTATTTATCAAACTATAACTGAAAAGAAATCAAAGTTCCCGTGCTGGAATTAGTCAAAGCTTCAGAGATGTGTGCGTGCGTGCGTGTGTTGCATTTAGCTCAGTTTATTCGAAGTTCCATGTACTTATCATAATATAACTGAAAAGAAATCAGAGTCCCCGTGCCTGGATTCGCCCCTGCTTCAGGAGAGGAAGGGCCGGGGAGGTTTTTGCACAAGGCCGCACGTGTCCCTGCCTTTCAAAAGTCCGAGCGCTCTCATAGGTGCAACGCCACAAAGCCGCGGCTGCAACGGCCATTATGCAACGCAGTGATAAACGCTTCCGCACGCCGCGCCGCCCTTTTGTGCCGCGATTCGTCGCCGTGCCTTTCCACGTCGGCGCCCACGTGCCTTCGGTCGGATTGGTCGGGGCTTTGTCCGTGCCTGGCCGTGCTTTGTGCCTGGCCGTGCTTTGTGCTTGGTCGTGCTTTGTTTTTGGTCGAGTTTGGTCCGTGCTTGGTTTGTGCTTGGTCGTGCTTTGTACTTGGTCGTGTTTGGTCCGTGCTTGGTCGTACTTTGTCTGAACTTGGTTGTATTTTGTCTACTTGGTCGTACTTTGTCTGTACTTGGTCGTGTTTGTGTCGTGCTTTGTACTTGGTCGTGCTTAGTCCGTATTTGACCCGAGCACATGGCGCCGAAGGGTTGCGTGCGGCGATGGAGGGAACCCTTCCTTTGGCGCGGTTTGGAACTGAGCGGGGGAGGGGGAAGGGAGGGGAAGGGGTGGGGTAGCGGAGGGGGTAGGAGGAGAGGAGGAGAGGAGGGGAGAGAGAAATGAGAGGAGTGGAGAGGAGGGGAGGGAAAGGAGAAGAGAAGAGGAGAGTAGAGAATAGGCGGCGATGAAGGGGAGTAAACACAACGGTGGCGGAAGTAGAAAGACAGATTAGAAATATATAGGAAACAAAACAGACACAGGGAACAGGATGAAAGACAGACAACACACACACACACACACACACACACACACACACACACACACACACACACACACACACACACACACACACACACACACACACACACACACACGTGGTTCGGTGCGTCACATCTGGTCGCGGATGACAGGGCGGAGTGAGTGTGGCTGTTGCAGGCCGCCGTCACCTTCGCCAGCGGACCATAGTCACGCTCCTGTCATGCTCGGCTGTCTCCCTGCGGTCGGAGCCAAGCACAGCGCCTGATGGATGTTGCGTGCACGCCGACAGACGCGGGAGCTCTGCCTCGACGCCTCTCCTCGGGGCGGCGGCGGCGGCTGGGAGAGTTTGCAAATATTTCCCCTCTCCGATTCACCTCCTCGCATCCCTTATCATCTCCCTCCACCACAATCCTCACCTTCTTCTCCTCCCACCTCCCCCTTGCTTTACTTTTTTGTACTTTCTTACTTTACTTTCTTATTTACTGTCTGTTTGTCTGTCTCTTTCTCTTTCTCATCCTCCATCACCTCTCCCTCACCCTCACACCCTTTCATCTCCCCCTACCTCTCCCCCAGTGCGAGTTTTCCTTCTTTTCTTCCTTTTCTTTCTCTTTTTTCTTAACGAGTCTTTTCTATCTGCTTTTACCAAAGAGGCAAAAGCGCGATATTTTCCTCTTTTTATGCATTCAGGAAGTGGTTGTGATTTATTTGGATTTGCTTAATTTTATACATTGAGGAAGAGGATGCGATTTATTTTTATTTGTATATCTTTTTTTATATTCAGGAAGTGGTCGCGACGGCGGGGGTAACGAGTGCAAACCCTGGTATTAATTTTCGCAGGGATGTTGACAAACGTTGCAGCAAAAGACCCTGAGATTAGCGAAGTTGATTCCCGCTTAAAAAAGTGATGACTCTTTGCCCTGTGTTGTGCAAGCTGTGGCGATACAGATCTCATTCGTTCTTGTACTTATTTGCCTTCCGCGTGTTTTAGATGCGAAGATGAGATGGGAGGGAAGAAAAAAAAAGAACGATTAATGGAATTATAGCGTTCACTTTTCTTTTAAATGTGTTAGGAATGAAAGGAGAAAGTGTTTTTGTGGTGAACTATGGATAGCATGAAACGTCTTTTCCCGCACAAAGCTTTGAAACTCGATTCCCGTGCGGCACCAGCGACAACCTGGCCACATACAAGCGTATCATTACTCTCCCTGTGCTGGCGTGACATTGACAGAGGCAATATATGCTCCCTCGGCGCGTGTTTCCGCCTGTGGCCACTAGAGGCGCTGCGGGTCGCTGCTCGGGGTACGCTCTGGGCCTCTCAATTATAGGAGGTGCGCTAGTTAAGTTATTATTTACTGCCCCGGTGGTGTTTATATGGTGGTGTCATGTGGTTATGTTGCGGTAGCTGTGGTTATGGGCGGTTTGTGTGTGTGGTACCCCTCGTGCCGTGGTTGTTGGGAAGTGGGTGATCCCGGGGAGTTAACGAGGCTGTCAGGCGCTGCAAACTGTTGTTCTGGGGTTGTAGGTGTTCTGGCTGATGGATGGGGTAGGCGTGCCCGCGCTCTCTGCCTCTCGCGTTTCTGAAAAGGCGCCCGATTTAGTTGGGTACAATGTCGCACGGAGGAAGGAGGCTTTGGTGTTCATATGGCAAATTCGATTGTATTGTCTGATTGAAAAGTTTATTTCAATGTAAATTAGCCTTCGGGGAGTCTTAGTGAATTTCTCGAACACCAAAATGGCGGGGTTAACAAATTTACACATCCTTACACACGAGCGAATACGCTTACGCATTCACGCAAGCATAAACACCTGAGTTTGTGTTTACAAAAGCGAACGCGCGCACTCGTGCATGGAATCCAGCACACGCACACGATCGCACGCTGCAAATTAAAAAGAAAATTAGACATAATGATAATGAGAAATCCGGGGCTTGGTGTAAATGAAAGGATGACGCAGCAGCAGCCAGCATTCCAGACCAACACGCGCATTGAGGCTGTTCCTGGCCAGCCAACAACCTCTCTACTTCCGCCAGGGGTGAACCACCCTGGGGGAGGAGGGGGAACTACCCCGTGGGGACGGAGGGGGGAAGGGTGAATCACCTGCCTCAGGTATTCATAGCTTGTGAAGAGATATGAAATGATTAGGACGCAAGAGAGGCGGAGCGAGGAGAGGGAATGAGAAAGAAGGGAGGTAGAGGGACAACGGTAGAAACTTACAAACAGGTAGATAGTGGGAGGACTGGAGAGAGAGAGAGAGAGAGAGAGAGAAGAGAGAGAGAGAGAGAGAGAGAGAGAGAGAGAGAGAGAGAGAGAGAGAGAGAGAGAGAGAGAAAGGAGAGAAGAGAGAGAGAGGAGGAAAGAAAGACCAGACAGTGAGTTTGAACCAGGGAACCCGCGTATACACACGTGAATGTCCTGAACATCCGTGTATATGCTTACCTGTGAGCGTGTGTGTTCGTGCAGCGCAGGTGTGAGTGCGTGTGGGCGTGTTGGCAACAAGGGCAGCGGCGCGGCACGGGTTCTGGTCCAGCAGGCGCGGTGATGCGGCTTTTGCAGTAATGAAGATATGTTGGCTCTGAGGACAGTCGAGAATCCACGGCCGAAGATACTGCGTAATGGCCGAGTGTATATTTTAGTCCCGTGAAGATATGAAGCATTCGCCCGCTTCGTCCTTGGGAGACGGGGATTAGGGATCAATAATGTGTTTTTTATGAATGATTTTGCTGCGAAGAGTCGTGATAAGGACAATGCCCTTTCGCTATGGTCGTCTTCGTTAGTCATGCTTTGATGGTATCTCATTCAGTTTGGCTGCACGATGCCCCCGGCGGCTCTCATACCCTCTCATACCCATAGGTGCCCCAGACTCCGCAGGGATCCTCTCACGCTCTCCTACGCATGCTGGTTATCACGGGGCTTCGCACTCCTCCGCGGCCCTTTGTCAAGCAACCCACGCCTTCCGAAGCGTTTCCTCCGCTTCTGCTCTTGTGTAAATTTGTGTCTCTCTCTCTCTCTCTCTCTCTCTCTCTCTCTCTCTCTCTCTCTCTCTCTCTCTCTCTCTCTCTCTCTCTCTCTCTCTCTCTCTCTCTCTCTCTTTCTCTTTCTTTCTCCTCCCCCCCCCTCTCTCTCTCTCTCTCTCTCTCTCTCTCTCTCTCTCTCTCTCTCTCTCTCTCTCTCTCTCTCTCTCTCTTCTCTCTCTCTCTCTCTCTCTCTCTCTCTCTCCTCTCTCGCTTCTCTCTCCTCTCTCTTTAGGTTATCGATATATTTTGGTATGGATAGGGTAATATTGTGCGTCAATGTCTAGCGTATTAACTTTATCAGGATGCTGATAATAATACACGGCGCATATGTTTGCACATATGCGTGCGTACATGTATGCTCAAGTTTGCGTGCGTGTGCGTGTGCGTCTGTGTGTGTGTGTGTGCGCGTGATGATGTTTTTTTTTTCGGATCACTACCGTTGAGCGCGTTGAGGTCACCGGATCCGCTGGCTCATAGGAAAGTCTCGGAATGCGGACGCTGCAGTGGCTCGGTTTTTGCTTCGCTTTTCCGACTCGTGGAAAGCGCGTGCTGCTCCTGAATAAGTGTCTCATTTTAAGGAATATTGTGGTTTGTAGGGCAGTGACTTTTAGGGTGAATAGGATTTCACGGACTCGACAGGATGTTGTGTGTGTGAGGTACAATATGTCTCAAATTGATTACATCGATGTGTTGTTTAATCTGTTCTTATAAGCTTAAAAGTCTTCCAATAATAGTAAAAAAGAGTAAATAAGACAATACATCTCAAATTAATTACATCGATATCTATTTTTATTTCTTAAAAGCTTAGAAGTCTACCCATAATAGTAAAAAAAGAAAAAAAAAACATTTTAATCTATTTGTATTTCTTAGCTTAAAGTCTACCCATAAGAGTAAAAAACAAACAAACAAAAAAAAACAAATAAACATATTTTTAAATGCTTTCCATGTTTGACAGTTCCTCCCTCTTCCTTTCCAGCGTGTTTTGGGACCTGTACTGCGCGGCACCCGAGCGGCGGGACACCTGCGAGCACTCGAGTGAGGCAAAGGCTTTCCACGACTACGTAAGTATTGGTGTTTTGCTATTTTCATGTGTGTGGGTGACATGTTTTTTTCTTTCTTTCTTTTTGTCTTTTTATTCATTTTTAGTATTTGGTGTATAGGTTGTGTGGGGGTAACGTATTTTTTTATTCATATTTGTTATTTGGTGTATAGTGTGTGTGTGGGTGACGTTTTTTATTCATTTTTATGATTTGATCTATAAGTTACGTTCATGGTTAATTATTTTTTATTATGGATATCGTATATATGATTTCGTTTTTTTAGTTATTGATATTATGTGTGATGGAATTTTTATTATTGTTATTGTATTTAAGATTGGATTTTTATGATAGATATTATATTCATGATTTATTAATTGTTATACATACTATGTTTATTATTTATTATCCATTATAATGATATGCATCTAGTTTATATTTATAGATATATTTTTATTTTTTTGATCTTTGTATGTTTATAAGGGAGTTACTGTGGTTATCCGAGTAGATTTGACGAAAAGACTTTTTCTCGGTTATTATTGAGGATGTGCGAACGTTTCTATTATAAGCACACGGATACTAACACTTACTGTACGGATAGTCGCGCTGACACACACGCACACACATACACGTACATACACATATACTTATACGAATACACACACACACACACACACACACACACACACACACACACACACTTACAGTGGTCGTTTGTGCGCGCGCGCACTTCCATGCATATATTCATAGGAGTGCGTGTATGTACAAATCTTTTTCTTTTTCTTTTATATAAAATGATACTCTTTGAGACAGCGTTGCGAAAAGTCTTCCCAGTTTGCTATCGTTGTGAGGAATCTCTCTCTCTCTCTCTCTCTCTCTCTCTCTCTGTCTCTCTCT